GGTTATCATCTGTACTTCGGACCAACTGGCTATCAATCAGAGGCTCCCTCGACTCCCTCCTCAGTTTCGATTAATTTGCTAGAGCAGCTCACAGAACGTAAGGAAACACTTACTTATACTTGCCAGCTTATTAAAGGATATGATAAAGGATACAGATGAACATCGAGGTGGAAGAGGTGCGTAGGGCAAGGTAAGTGGAAAGGGGCGCGGAGCTTCCGTGCACAGCACTCTGCCAGCACCTCCATGTGTGTACCATCCTGGAAGCTCTCTGAATCCCATACTTCTGGGGTCTTATGGAGGCTTCATCACATGGGCATGATTGATCATTAACTCCATTTTCAGCCCTTCTCCCTTCTCAGGAGAACGGAGGTCAGGGCTGAAAATTCTAAGCTTCCATTCATGGCTTGGTCTTTCGGGTGACCAGCCCTCATTTAAGAGCCATCCGGGAATCCACCCAGAGTCACACATTAGAACAAAAGACACTCTTATCACCCAGGGAATTACAAGGGTTTCAGGAGGGTCAGGAACAGAGGTCAAAGACCAATATTAGAACAAGAGATGCTCCTAGTGTTCTTATCACATAGGAAATGACAAGAGTTTTAGGAGTTCAGTGCCAGGAACCAGTGGCAGAGACCAGTATATATTTTCTATTATTTTACAACTTTCATAATGATTAAAATTAAAATTAGAGCTTACTGTGTACTGAGAAGCTTATAGCTCTGTAAGAACTTACAGAGCCACCAAGTAATTTCATCAAACTGCTCATGTAAAGATATTCCTACAGGGAGAAGGCAGGTCAGACTACAGACTCTCTTTAGAAGTTGCCAACACACCTTGGACTCAAATGACAAGGCACCTGCACATTCTCTGAGGCCAGGAGTGGGAAAATGTAAATGTTTCGGCAGGCAAGTGGGGAAACTGATATCTTCATAAAAGACATATCAAAAAGTGGAGGTTCTCTAGGGATTTTCTTGAAACTACTATTATAGCTACATCTTCTTTCCCTCCCTAAATAGCCCGCTTTGAAAAAGTTCATCAAGCAACGTGCCTGTCAGTGAATGAATGGTTGTGTATCTATGAATGAAATGATGATTATCCATTAAATTGAATTTTATATCCATTAGCCAATGGTATTCAGTTTTCCTTCCCAAGATCTGGGATGGCAAAAGGTTTCAATTGCCTGATTTGGTGGCCTTGTCTCTGTGTAACTAACTACTGCAGGATCTGCCTCCAGCACAGCCAGCTCTGCTAATGGCTGGAGCCACAAACATCCCTGATCCCATTGGTGGCGTCTTCTTAAACTGGGTATACGTTTCCACAGAGACATGATCAAATAGTTGCATTTTATGGTATGATTAGAAATAAATTTGGACACCCAGGGAATATACAAATGGACAGTGGCCAGATCATATATAAAAATAGGACTCAGGGGGCCAGCGCAGTGGCATAGTGGTTAAATTCGCATGTTCCACTTCGGTGCCTGGGGTTTGCAGGTTTGGATCCCAGAAGCGGACCTACGCACCGCTTATCAAGCCACGCTGTGGCAGGCATCCCACATATAAAACAGAGGAAGATGGGCACAGATGTTAGCTCAGTGCCAATCTCCCCCGGCAAAAAGAGGAGGATTGGCAACAGATGTTAGCTCAGGGCTAATTTTCCTCACACAAAAAAATAGAACTCTGACCCACAACTTGCATCAACCTGCCCAAGAAACCAACCCCTTATCTCCGATAAACAACTCAGGAAGCCAGCCTGCTATAAGTCAGACTTTCAGTAAGCCAGAGGTTATCTCTAGTGACAATCCAGGAAGCTGAACAGTAACTTCTGTAACAGTGGGCCCAAAATGGTCAGGACTTGATTAATAACTCAAAGGTTCCCTAATTTTTGTTCCCAATTCCAACTTAGGACCAACTAGAGGTCAAATACGCACCCCTAACCAATCCCATAGGATAGCTTCTAGTTAGCCACCTACAGCTCCCCCCGGCCAACAGCCTCCAGTCAAGGCAGACCTGAGGCCTGTCCTTTTTCCACTATACAGCTTTCCCTGCCTCTGCCTGCCTTTGAGTCTTGGCAAAACACAAGTGATGGTGGCTGACACCCTTGCTGCACAGCAACTACAGGATAAATAGTCTTTGTTTTCTCCTTTGGTTGGTCTTTATTTCTACAGCACTGTGGTTTAAACAGGCTTTGCAGGTCAATTATTTTCCGAGTCATCCAACTATCATTCATTCATTTATCCATTCACTGAAGAAACATTTACTAAAAGCTTTAACATGAGCCACATTTCCTTCCCAGGTGCAGGGGAAAATGAAAAAAAGATAAGACATAGTCCCTACTCTAGAGGACAGTAGCTTGACAACTAAGGAAATGAAGGTGAATGACTCGGCAACCAAGTTGATGGTCCTTACTGTGCTGGGGCAGCATTTTCCAAAAAGTGACATGCTAACTACTGGTTACATGAGATAACTTGCAGGAAGTTGTAAATGGCTGAACATTTTTACTTTAATAGTTGTCAACCTGAATGCAGATTAGAAAAAGATGCATTTGAAGTCCACCAAATCCATGATTTCACAGCTACTAATGCTTTGGAGTGAGTCTGTTATCAGTCAAAATTCAGTCAGGAGATAAAAGCCACCCTTACTTGAACAGGGGAAATGCAATATAAAGAATTGTTAATTGGGTATTAAAGGCAATTATACAAGGGCAAAAAAGGAACACTTCATACCTAAAGGTTTCATGCAGGAAGCTGCTACTCTTAGGGAAGTGGTTGAAATTGTTCAATTTTAGAAGCCTGGTGGGGTCCTGGAGGGCTGAAACTCAAGACCTCTGACAAGAACTTGCTGCTTAGTTAAAACCAGTGTCTTAGAGCTGAGTCGGGGGCCCTGTGGGCCGGGGTGCTAGGCAGACATTTGGGGAGGGAGCACCACATGGTATCAATGACTGTTACTGAACACCAGCCTCTGCTGGGGTGAAGAGGTGTTTTGGGGGTGACAAAGAAATAGGAAGCAAAGAGGAAGCAGGCAGAAAGGACCAAGCCCCTTCTTCCTCCTCTAGCCTTCCTATCTCCCTCTGGGCCTCTACTGGCAGATCCCAATAAGAAGCCAGCTGGCAGAGGAGAAACAGGGTTTGCTGAGTACCAGCCCTGCACCACATACTGAGTGTAAGAGAGCATTTGAATCTGAGAAACCATGTTAATACCGGCTACAGTCTATTACTTGGGCTATTCAGGATCCACACACACGCTTCTAAATATGATTCAACTTCCCACAAGAAAAACAACTCTTTATTCTACTTAACAAATTGCAAACATCCTTTGTACAAAAGATGTTCTCACTCTTTCTCCAAAATGAGGAGACAAAATTCCCAGCACACATTGTATTGGTTTGTGGAAGACAGTCACACTATTCATCTCATCTCTTAACTATGTTAGTTACATCTAGAATTTAGTCACAGACCCATCACAATACTTTGTTATCTCAAGACTAATTAGCAAATTTAACCCTCTAAAAAGGTATTACAATAAGAGGAAGGAGAAATGTACACACACACCCCAAGGGAGAAACTACAGGTAACTGCTCAGTAACTTGTTTCTGTAATTGGCCACAAGGCTGTAGTTCAACTTCCTCCTCTTCACATTCCACGTTTCCGCTTCCCTTAGCCACGATCTCAGCTGCTCAGGGTTTATAGCTGGCAGGGCAGCCCAAAATTTCGTTGCCTAAAGGGTCAAATCATTTCCACCTCCTTCATGTTACAGATCTCCATTAAAATTTCTCATTGGACATGGAAATGCTAAAAGATGCCCTAAATGCCCTGGGTTCCAGATATCCTTCTCTATCACCCATTGTGTAGGAACACAAATAACCCATTGTTCCCAAGATCACATGCACTAGCCAGGAGAGTAAACTCCTTCTTTGTGGGTTGGTTTAGTGGTAAAACGACCACATTATTTTAATTTCTGCCAATGGAACCACTATTGTGTTCCTTGGTGGGAGCACTCCTTCCTTGGGAACCCAGACCTCCAGAGCTCAAAATCAAGGTATAGGAAGCAAAACATCTGTGAGTGGGTTACCAGGTGTAACAGTGAGAGGAGCCACTCTTTCTACCTCTGCTTGATTCCAGACCATACATTCTGACTACGAGAGCAACAGCCCCATTGAGTGGTCACTGATTCAAAGCATAAATTACATTTCATAAGATGCAGCGTTGTACCTCACCTAGGGCCATAACTGAGACTTCAGTAGACCATTCCACCATTCTATTATGACTGTTGCTCCTAGGTGATGGGGTATGTGCTAAGATCAGCGAATTCCAGAGGCACAAGCCCATCGCCCCACTACTTCTGTGAAATGGGTTTGTCTGTTAGAAGTAATCCTGTGCAGAATATTATGAGGGTGAATAAAACATTCCATAAATCCATGGATTGTGGTGCTGGTGAAGCATTGGGAGGAACTTCCAGCTTCCGCCCCCAGGATGTAGAGCTGAAAGATGCACTGCTCTCACTTTTACAATGAAAAAGAGCGAAATTAACTTCAAATTCATGACTTTTTTTGGTAACTCACTAGAGAGCTGAGGTCACAAAGCAATCAGAATCTAAGGAGATTCAGAGAGAGGAGACACACACCTCATTTAGTTGCTAGGAACAAAATTAAATGAAATCAGTATTTCTTAGAAGTTCTAGGTATATACCTCCAGACAGACAGACACACATACACACACTTAATACCATGTGCTTCTGTACTTAGTAGTTAGAATAAGGTTCCGACTAGGAGATGGCCTGGTTGGTGGTGAATTCAACTGGCCTGTACTATATGAAATTGATAACTGTTTTTGCCCACAAAAAGTAATTTCTTATGGTTCAACCTAATACATCACCATGTTCTAAATTAATGTCTGGCTTTTAAAAGTTACTATTTGGATAAAAAGTTCCAATACGCAACTAGACTAAAATTATTATTTGAAAGTATAAGAGAATAGAGAAAGTATATGAAAACAGATCTTTATTATAGAACAATTTTCTTTTTTTTATTAATTAAGGGCTTTAAACAAAAAACCATAATTCCACCAACTGACAATGACTTGGTAGAATGCAAATACTTTGGGCTGGAGAGGCATGTTTGTTCCTGATGAATTCACATACAACAAATTCTCATGACATTTGATTCCAAAAAGTATGTATGAATTGGCTTGACACGATTAATAATTTAAAGTAAAATATAAACATAAGGGCAATTTAAACACTGGTATTAATTTATATGAGTCAATTCAAGGTCAGTGACTGGAGAGCTATACTAAAAACATCTTCAGGAAGCATGTACCAGGCACCTGTGTACACCTGAAGAGCAAGGGCTAATCATCTATTCGTGATGAACACCAGTAAGCAAAGGATGTATAACATCCATCACACATCTGTTTCAAAAACAGCATATTTCCAAAATTATACATTACTTTTACAAATAAACATTACAATATTAATAACTAGAGAGAAACCATCAGAATGAGTTCCAAAATATGCTAACTTTCACAGGGCATCCCAGAGCCATATCTTAAGGCATCCGTTTTAATCTTGGGGCTTTAAGAACATCTTCTTTGCTTTAATTGGTTTTATGTCTCCATTTTCATCTTCTTCATAATTGGCACGGTCTCTTTTTTTGGCAAACTTTTTTCCAATTGTCCCCACCAAGGTCTCGTATCTGTTAAGATGATATATAGCACAAGTTTAATTTCAAATAAAAAAGGTAGGAATCAAGTCTTGTCGAATATCAAACCAAATATGCAACAAAGAATAAGAAAAATCAAAACTACGATTAAAAGAAACTATCTCATTTAAAAATTTTTGAATTTCTCTACGAAGGATTAAATTCTTAAATGTTTTCTGGTTTTGCATTATCCTAAATACACTGAGAAGTACACTTTAAAATACATGTAAGAAGTAGCACTGCCAATGAGCCCTCAACTGCCAGCCCGTGACAGATATAAATCCACCTCAGGTCATGCTAGAGAAAGCAGAAAGTCAGCTTCCTGCTGGGGTACTCCCTTCAAAGCTACGGGAGACTGTGGGCTAAGAGCAGTGCACTTTTCAAAGCCAATGAATGCTGGGCCCAGGTTATAAAGCTGTTCCAAGGTAATGGTTACCTTCTAGCCATTTCTTCATCTGACACATCAAGCTCCACTGTTTCCTCTTCAACTTCCTCTGCTTTGTTCTTAGCGTTCATCTGAAGCATTAATTTCTGAAAAATACATCAATGCTGACTATGAGGGCTGGAAAGGCTTGTTAAAAGAACTAGTGTTAATGTATTTGAAGGCAGATAAACAGAAGTCACAGAATCTACAGGACTAGACAAAATTTGTAAGGAATTCTCTGTAATACTTTATTCCACACTGTGCTAACAGAAGTCAGCTCTGAATCAAAATAAGATAAAATCCCATTAGTTAATACTTATTGTTAATGAATTAAAACTGTATTTTAGATCATAAATCTTATTAGTTACTTTTATCTAAAGCAGGCACACTGCTAACACACACTAGTGAGAGAGACAAAGAAAAAGTAAACTTTCAGATTTCCTCTAAACTTCCCATCTTTGAGCCAAGTAGAAGAAGTACTACAGTCGAAGTAATTTTAAATGCATTTTTTGGGGGGGAGGGCAGCAAATTACTGGAGGGAAGGGCTGGAAGCCTGGCCCTGGTATAAGGGGAGGACCTGCCTCACCCCCAAACACAAGGGTGGACAATGCATCCCATATGATGTCCATGTGTCATAGCTCTCTCCTTTACCTCTTTTTCTCACATGAACCTCTTCTTGACAGTTACCCTCTGACAGACTGTTTTTTTAATGTATGATAACTTCTTTACAGCAAATGGGATAAGGAAGGGAAAGCAGAAGAGAAACCAGCATCGACTACCTTTTCCAATGTTTAAAGGACTGTACCATAGTTACAGAATAAATATTTATTGAATAAATAAACTCCGTGCTAGGTATCACTAGTAACACATACAATATAAAAAATGTGTTCTAAGTACATCCTGCTTATAATAAAGTAAGCGCTGTCAAGTTGATATCATTCTTTTTATAACCTGGTATATTGAACTTTTCTCACATTTTAAGACAGCTCAGATCTGGGAGACAAACAGCACAAAACCTTCTCCCAGAGAGAATGTATTCAGTGTTACAGAGTGCCAGTAATTAAAGCCATTTTCTAATAACCCCCACATCAAATTCTGAGGGACGTATCAATTCCTTTTCCCATGAACAAGACATACTTTGGAGTGCTTGCCTAGCCACAACCCCAGTCTCTGGGTGTCATACACTCATAAGCATTGCTTTTTTTTCCCCTTTTACTCCAGTGCCCTCTTTCCTCTTCCCAATCTATACCTTTAAGCAGGCCAAAGCAGGGAAAGGATATATTAAAAATAAATGCTTTTAGTGTTGATTTGTGTAAAGTAAATATTAGCACCTTAATTATCATACCCCCTCAAAAAAGGGGAAAAAAAAGAAAACTAACCTATAATCTTTATTTTTTTATTTTTATTTTTTTTTAATAATTTTATTTATTTATTTTTCCCCCCAAAGCCCCAGTAGACAGTTGTATGTCATAGTTGCACGTCCTTCCAGTTGCTGTACGTGGGATACGACCTCAGCATGGCCAGAGAAGCGGTGCGTCGGTACACGCCCGGGATCCGAACCCGGGCCGCCAGCAGTGGAGCGCGTGCACTTAACTGCCAAGCCACGGGGCCGGCCCTAACCTATAATCTTTAAATAAACTTTGGCAATTAGCTTGGTTAACTGTGGTTCTCTATAGGCATCTTTAGAGAACTGGTTTTCAAGCAGGGACCTTTGGCAATGTCTGTTTATATTTTTGGTTGTCACAACGGGGGATGTGTGTGTGTGTGTGTGTGTGTGTGCATGCAGGCACACACACACTATCTGTATCTAGCAGGTAGAAGGTAGAGGCCAGGGATGCCACTAGACATCCTAAAATGCACAGGACAGCCCCACCACAAAGAATTATCTGGCTTCAAATGTCAACAGTGCCAGGGCTGAGAAACCCTGGCTTCAAGTGAGAGTTAGAAACTAAAGCTTTACATCATAAACCTCCATTTGGTTGGTCAAGTACTTGATAGGATGGCTTTTAATACGTGAGCCAGAGTTCCAATAAATATTTATTAAATGAAGGTCTATGCTTCCCTATAAACCTGAGGAAGGAAAATTCAAATGAACAGTTCAGTTATAAGAACTGGAAGTTATAAGGTGAATATTTGCTTTTCAAACAACTTTCCAAAGGATTCATTTAAAAATCTATTTACAAGCTTGGATTAAAACTTGTCCATTAAAAAGTCAAATTACTCAATTTTTAAGTAACATTTTCCCATTAGAAAAGATACATTTATAGATGCCAGGAAATAATTTTTCATAATAGCATCATAGGAATAAAATTCCAATGTTCTTGTAAAAGATACGAGATGAAATTCCTACACTTACAGTGGCAATGTCAAGGACTGTATACTGCTCTATTAAATTACCTACTCAATTGTACCATAAAACTAGACTGCAACACCTGCAATTTCTTTAAATAGCTATGGTGATATTTCAAGACTTGTTATTTTCTATATAATGAGGAGAAATAGTACCTGGTGGGAAAAAACCTAAACCCAATTATTAGCAGAAAGAATTCAACTGGAAAAATTTTAAATTTGAAGCAATTATATTTAATACCTCAACCTCAGGATTAAATCCTCTGAACGACATTCTTCCATAGAGAAGATCTTCACATAGTAGGAAACTTTGCTCTTCTATTATGAAACTCCTAAATGGGAAAATAAACGTGTATTAATAGCATGTCTACTTATAATAGAGCACAGCAAATAGAACTCAAGATTTCAAATGAAAAATCGATCTTACGGTTATCAAATACAGTAGGATTTTCAACCCAGGGTTAGAAATAAAACCTGATTAATTTGTCCAGCAAAGGCGTTAGGAGACAGGAGCTGTAGGCTGGAGGCACAGTCTCTTCTAAACACTATGTTTAATTTGCATAAATGCCTACATAATGTAGAAACCTTAAGTATTTATAATAAACCTGAATTCTCCAAGTCTGAAGCAAAGTTCCCTTGACGTTTACACCTCCAACTAAGTTCTTATTAAATTAAGTTCTCATTAAATATCCAGAAATCAGAGTACTAGGCAGCTTTAAAAGAGTGTATTAGAGCTCTCAGCTATAAACAACCACGACTGACACTAGATGATTTAAGCAGAAAAGGAATTTATTAGAAGGCTATCGGGCATCTCACAGAATCACTGGGAAAGCTGGATGAGCACAACTGGAAAATAGGCAGGAATAAAGGTGGCAGGTGGTTGACTCAAAACCAAACCATGCTACAAAACTATCCCAGTAAAAATGACGCTGCTGCTGAGCGGGCTAAACTCCGGACACCAGAGGGCACTGGGGAGGCCACTGCTGCCCTGGAAACAGGATGCAGGCAGATGTTTTGGTCTCCAAAAGGGAGTCTCCTGAGTCACCAGTGCATGATTCCTGTCCCAGGTGAGCATATCTGACTACAGTCTGGTTATCAACCATAAAGCATGCTAGGAAAGCAAATACTTGGCCTTTATGGCTTCTTTGGCAGAAAGTTGGCTCTGCTTCTTGTCAAGATTCACTCACTCTCCCACTCACTCGGCGAACGCTTATTAAACCCAACTGTGTGCCAGGCACTGTTACAGAAGCTGCGGAGACAGCCATGAATAGGAGAGCCTCTGCTTTCACGAAGGTTACATTCTAGAGAATGCTGCCAGATAATAAATAAATAAAAGATTTATATTATACAATGAATAAAAATGAAGCAGGTTATTCCACTCCTGGCCATAGGGAAGTAACTGGTACCAAACTAGCTCTCCTACTGCAACCAACTATAAAACAGGACAAATAGGAAACAACTATTTTCATGGTCACACTGCCTTCTCTGTGTGCATGGAATCTCTCTGCCTCCCTTTTATAAGGACATATGTGATTGCATCTGGGGCCCAACCAGATAACCCAGAATAATTTCCCCATCTAAAGATCCTTAACTTAATCACACTGGCAAAGCCAATTTTGGCATATAAGGTAACACTCACAGGTTCCAGAGATGAAGACCTAGATATTATTTGGGGGACCATTTCCCAGCCTACCACACCTGGGAAAGAAAATTTGCCCCAGAACTGTATGTTGAACAAATATAAGACCTTGCACAGATGAGGGAAATGTTTGAGTTGTGTTTACCCAGAGGGGAAAGATCCAGCTGAACACTCTAACACTGAATAGAAAGGTCACAACTTAAGAACAAGGCTAATCTAGTCCTAGAGTGAAGGCTGTAAAACCTACTCGAACAAAAATGGATCAAGCTGATCAGCATGTAAATTAATTGCCTAACGGAACAAAATTTAACACTTTATCAAGACAACAAAATCCAGGTACTCAGTAATATAACATACACATGTGTAGCACACAATAAAAAATTACTAGACATGTAAGGAAGCAAGAAAATGTGACCCATAAACAGGAGAAAAACAAATCAATAGAAAAAGAGAGATGACAGAATTAGTAGAAAAGGATTTTAAAACAGCTATTATAAATATGTTCAAAGATTTAAAGGAAAATATGAATGTAATGAAGATACAAATAGGGAACCTGAATTAAAAAATGGAAACTATGATAAATCACCAAATAGAAATTTTAGGACAGAAAAAAACAATATCTAAAGTGAAAAATCAGAATAGTCCTATATCTATTAAAGAAACTGGATTCATTATTAAAAGTCTTTCCACAGAGAAAATTCCAGATCCAGATGCCTTCACTGGTGAATTTTATCAAAGATTTAAGGAAGAAATACTACCAATTTTACACAAACTAAGAAATGAGAAGAGGAGGAGGGAACACTTCCCAACTCATGTTATGGCTCAAACTAAAGACATTATCAGAAACTTACATTCCAATGTCCTCTATGAATATAGATGCAAAAATCATCAGTAAAATATTAGCAAATTGAAATAAATATATATACTACATATGAATACCAAGTGGGGTTTGCCTCAGAAATATAAGGTTGTTGACATTCACAAATCAATATAATTCCCATATTAACAGAGGAAAGAAGAAAAATTATATAATCATCTCACTGAAAATGATTTGACAATTTTCACTAACATTTATGAAAATTCTCAGCAAACTAGGAAGAGAAAGGAAAATCTCTCATGCTGATAAAGGGCATCTATGAAAACACACAACACTTCATACTTAATAGTAAAAAAGTTAATGTTTTCTCCCTAAGATCAGAAATAATGCAAGGATGTCCATTCTTATCAGTGGACCTGCCAGAGGTCCTAGCCAATGAAATGTAGCAAGAAAAAGAAATAAAAGGTATGACTTTTTTTTTGGTAGATGACATAATTGCATATGTAGATAATCTTAAGGAATCTACAAAAAACTACTAGTTAGTGAGTCAAATTAGCACAGTTACAGAATACAAAGTCAACATATAACTATCAATTTCTACATATATAAATACAACAGACAACTTTGGGGAAAAAACCCATTTACAATAGGATTTAAAAATATGAAATATGTAGGGATATAGTTAACGATATTATACACACAGAACCTCTACACCAAAAACTACAAACCATTGCTGAGAGAAATCAAATAATAGCTAAATAAATAGATATATCCTGTTAATGGACTGGAAGACACAATTCTGTTAAGATGCAAATTTTGCCCAAATTGATCTACAGATTGAATGCAATGCCAATCAAAGTCCTACTTTTTTGGAGGGGAAGGGGATGGTGGGGAGAAATTAACAAACTAGTTCTAATATTTATATGGGAAGGCAAAGGACAGAGAATAGCCAAAACAATCTTGAAAAAGAATAAAAGTGGAAAACTTTCACTATTTGATTTCAAGACTCACTACAATCCATAGCAATCAAGCCAATAGGATAGAAAATATATCAATGCAACAGAATGGAGTCCAGAAATAGACCTATACTAACACAGGATACTAATTTTTTTGCCCAAAGCCATCAAAACACTGCAATGACTAAAGAACAATATTTTCAATAAACAGTACTGGGACCACCAGTTATTTATAGAAAAAAAATGAACTTTGATTCCTACTTCACACCATAGACAAAAAATCAGAGACAGATCACAGATAAAAATGTAAGAGCTAAACTTAACAAAAATTCTAGAAGAAAACACAGAGAATATACTTGCAACCTTGGTAGACAGAACCCAGAAAGAACTAACTATAAAAGGAAAAAAAATTAATGAAATAAAATTAATTACAACTACTGCTCATCAAAAGACAACATCAAGAAAATAAATAGGCAAGATACAGACTGGAAGAAAATACTCAAAATACATAAATCTAGCAAAGATTTATATTCAGAATATAAAGAACTCCTATCTGTATAGAAGTATGTAAGTTTTACCTCAAAAAAAAAAAAGAACCCTATATAAACACTGAATTCTAGTTAATGATATGCATGCTTAAGTGTTCAGGGATAAAATGTACTGACAGATGTATAGAAGGGTGAATAAATATGTGATATAAAATGTTAAAAATAAAGACAAAACCATCTCATTTTTTAAAACGGGCAAAAGATCTGAATAGGGATTTCACAAAGGTAGATAGGGAAATGGCCAATAAGCACGTAAGAGTTCTTTAACATTATTAGTCACCAGGAAAATGCAAACTGAAAACCATAATGAGACACCACTAGAATGCTAGAATAGATAAAATTAAAAAGATAACATCAAATATTGGTAGAACAGCCAGAACTCTTATACCTCCTTAGTGAAAGTGTCAAGTGGTATAAGCACTTTGGAAACTGGGCTGAAAGTTTCTCATAAGGTCAAATATATATCAACTTTATGACCCAGCAATTCCACCTTCACCTATGAGAAATGAAAACAGGATTCTATCCAATTCATCTAAATTCTTTTTATCTAAAGAATTTGTCTTTGGTTGTTTTATAAAGAGTGGTCTGGGTGGGCCTCTTGAATGAGGTGACATCTGAGCAAAGTTCAGAAAGCAGTGAGGAAAAAGATATGAGGATACCTAGGGGAAGAACACCAGAGAGACTAGTTAAAAGTAACTAGGAGAATATAAGTGGACTGCCTGAGAAACAGTAAGGAGGCCTCTATGACTGGAATGGAGTGAGAGAAGGTAAGAATGGTAGCAGGTCACAATTATTTTCATGATAACACTAAGACGTTATCTGTCTTTTTCACTGTGTTGACATCTGCACAGAGTGTGCAAAATCAATTATGGGTAAAATCACATCTTAGCATGAATTAAAGTAGTGATACCAGACTGTACTAGCAGTCATTGTATTGTTCACTGCTGGCTCTCACAGTCTTAAAAAAAACAGAAGCCAATAAAAATGTTCTTGATGAAGCAGTAAAAACTTACTAACTTTTGTTAATCTCAGCCCTTGATTACACTTTTAAAAACCATTCTGTACACAAAATAGGAAGTATATACAAGGTACTTCTGCATAGTGAAGTATGATGACTGTCTTGAGAAGATGCACTTGTGTTATCGAGCTGTGAATTGAACTAGCCACTTTTTTCATGGAACACTATAACTATGGTTATGCAGACTTGGATACTTGGCAGACATTTTCTTGAAAATAAATAAAGTGAACTTGTTACTTCAAGGGTAAAAACTGACAACACCGATTGCCAGTAACAAAATTAAGCTTTTGGACAAAAATTAGAATTTTGAATAGCTTGTATATGTCACCTTGGGCTTGACAGCTTCCCAATACT